AAAAAATTTTGGTCAAAAAAATTTTGGTCAAAAAAATTTTGACCCAAAAAAATTTTGACCCAAAAAATTTCGGCCCAAAAAAATCTTGGTCAAAAAAATTTCGGCCCAAAAAATTTTGACCCAAAAAAATCTTGGTCAAAAAAATCTTGGTCAAAAAAATTTTGGTCAAAAAAATTTTGGAAAAAAAATTTTGGCCAAAAAAATTTTGATCAAAAAAATTTTGACCCAAAAAAATCTTGGTCAAAAAAATTTTGGTCAAAAAAATTTTGGTCAAAAAAATTTTGGTCAAAAAAATTTTGACCCAAAAAAATTTTGACCCAAAAAATTTCGGCCCAAAAAATTTTGACCCAAAAAATCTTGGTCAAAAAATTTTGGTCAAAAAAATTTTGGCCCAAAAAATTTTGGCCAAAAAAATTTTGGCCAAAAAAATTTTGATCAAAAAAATTTTGACCCAAAAAATTTCGGCCCAAAAAATTTTGACCAAAAAAAATCTTGGTCAGAAAAATTTTGTTCAAAAAAATTTTGATCAAAAAAATTTTGACCCAAAAAATTTCGGCCCAAAAAATTTTGACCCAAAAAAATCTTGACCCAAAAAATCTTGGTCAAAAAAATTTTGACCCAAAAAAATCTTGGTCAAAAAAAATTTGGTCAAAAAAATTTTGGTCAAAAAAATTTTGACCCAAAAAAATTTTGACCCAAAAAATTTCGGCCCAAAAAATTTTGACCCAAAAAAATCTTGGTCAAAAAAATTTCGGCCCAAAAAATTTTGATCCAAAAAAATCTTGGTCAAAAAAATTTTGACCCAAAAAATTTCGGCCCAGAAAATTTTGACCAAAAAAAATTTTGACTTAAAAAATTTTGACCCAAAAAATTTTGGCCCAAAAAATTTTGACCCAAAAAATCTTGGTCAAAAAAATTTTGACCCAAAAAAATCTTAGTCAAAAAAATTTTGGTCAAAAAAATTTTGACCCAAAAAAATTTTGACCCAAAAAAATTTTGACCCAAAAAATTTCGGCCCAAAAAATTTTGACCCAAAAAAATCTTGGTCAAAAAAATTTTGACCCAAAAAAATTTTGACCCAAAAAATTTCGGCCCAAAAAATTTTGACCCAAAAAAATTTTGATCAAAAAAATTTTGGGGAAAAAAAAATTATGGTCAAAAAAATTTTTGCCCAAAAAATTTTGGTCAAAAAAATTTTGGTCAAAAAATTTTGGTCAAAAAAATTTTGGTCAAAAAATTTTGGCCCAAAAAAATTTAGTTAAAAAAATTTTGGCCCAAAAAATTTCGGCCCAAAAAATTTTGACCCAAAAAAATCTTGGTCAAAAAAATTTTGACCCAAAAAATTTCGGCCCAAAAAATTTTGGGAAAAAATTTTGGTCACAAAAAATTTTGGTCAAAAAAATGTTGGTCAAAAAAAATTTTGGCCCGAAAAAATTTTTGAAAAAAATTTTGGTCAGAAAATTTTTGGTCAAAAAATTTTTGGTCAAAAAAATTTTGGTCAAAAAAAGTTTTCCATGAAGCAGGAAAGTGGCCTTTGGCCATTATACGGTTAACCAGTCGTGTTATCAGTATGTATGCGTTCGTTGGCAGTTGTTTCAGTATTATATTTTGTAGTCCGGCCGGTCCGGGTGCTTTCCTGTTCGGTAGTTTTCTGATTGTAGATCTTATTTCTGAAACTGTGGCAGGGTCTATTCGTAAGTCTTTGTCGTTAAATTGTTCAGTGAAATTTTGAATAGAATTGCGTACGTCTCGTCTTAAGTCTGCGTTGGACATGTCGGCGTTTTGTTTGTGTATTTTTTCGAAGTTTGTCTCCAAAATTTCTGCTGTCTGCTGGTGTCGTAGCGTAGTTGTTGTCAGGTAGTTTGAGTGGAGGGATAGGTGTTGTTTTCCTGGTCAGACTTTTGGCTGTTTGCCAAACTTTGTTCGGGTCAGTGTTGATGTTTTCTAGTCTTTTAGTCCAAGTGTCGTTCCGGTGCTCACGTATCTTATTATAAATAATTTTTGTCAATCTGTTCACGTGTTCCTTTAGTATTCTGTCACCAGTACGTTGCCACAGTTTCTTTATATTGTTGCAACGAAACGTTTTTTTTTTTTTAGTTTATTTCTGTTTTATTACAATATATTACAACATAATATACAATAACCATGATTTAGGAGTTTACTACTAAAAGTATTTTACTCTTATTTAATACTACAATCTATCCACTTTAAATTATACATTTTGTTTAAAAATAAAAATAATGGTTTGTGATCGAAAAAAAAAGAAAGTTCAAACATTCTTCAAAAAAAATCACAATCTTTAAGTATATATTTAATTTACATTCTTTAAATTATTAGATACTCTTATTTGTGTTGTCCAGAATGTAGTTTGGCATTGGATATTTGCCGTACCATATGATATCAGGCGTGTACTGTCCGAGGGTTCTAATATTATTATTGGTATGGTCTTTGCATTTTTCGTAGAAGTTTTCCGTCATTTTCTTAATGTGGTTAATCACAGTCGGTATGTCTGCTTGTTCGTGTAAGAGCTTTGTTGAGTAGTAGTGTCCGGTAGTTGGGTCCCGTATCAGGTTCAGTATTAGTCTCAGTGATTTGTTTTGTAAAATTTGTAGTTTTTTAATATTTGTCTTCGATGTCATGTTCCATATTGGGGCAGCATACATCAGACATGGCCTGATCAACGTTAGATATATTCTTCTTTTATTACGCATATTCAATACACTCTTTGTGTTCAATAATGGTCTTAAAAGATTTAGAAGCCCATATGTTTGCGCCAATTTCTTTTTTATATGTGTATTGAAGTTAAGTTTCCTGTCAAGTGTTACTCCTAGGTACTTAACTTCATCTGTCCATTTAATTTTTTGTCCTGAAATTTTTATTTCTATAGGCTTTTCTTTCAACTTATTTCCTTTCCAAAAAATTATTGCTTCCGTTTTTATGGGATTTACTTTTATGTGCCATTTTTCTGCATATTTTGCTATATTATCTATGTGATTTTGTAGCTTGTTAGCTATCATCGCTACTGATTTTGATGATGTGAACACAGCAGTATCGTCCGCAAATGTTAATGTATTTGTTTTGCTGTCAGTAGGGATATCATATATATATGTGTTAAACAATGTTAGTCCTAGCAAGGATCCCTGAGGCACTCCAGCTACTATACGTTTAGGATTTGAAAGATTATTATTTACTTGAACTTGAAATGTACGATCTTTAAGATATGAAATGATGACTTTTGTTATGTAATGTGGAAATTGTAAATTTATTAATTTATACAACAGTCCATCTGTCCAAATTGTATCGAAAGCTTTTTCAAAATCTATTAGTACAAGATCAGTGTGTGTCTTTTTGTTAAAATTTAGTACAGTATTTTCAACTAGCTGTGCTAGTGGATGCAGAACTGAATGCCCATGTTTGAAACCATATTGCGTTTCTGGTATGATATTATTAACACTTAAAAATTTATTAAATCGAACAAGCAGTAATTTTTCAACTACTTTGCTTATTGTATTTAATAGACTTATAGGTCTGTAGCTTGGTGGTAGATTTGGTTGTTTTCCTGGCTTTAATATTGGTACCACATTAGAACATTTCCATGACACAGGAAAGTATCCATTTTTAAAAAATTTATTTGTTATTCGTGTAAGTAGAATAATAGCTTTAATAGGTAACTGTTTAATTGCTAAGTTCTGTATACCATCT